TAAAATATTCTTGTGTAATACGGTCCACCTTTGGTGGCGGTGTTTACTTGAAATATATGAATGTGAATGTACTTGTGTATTGTGAATAAGTCCATGAAGGCATATTATGTGAAATATGATAATAATGATGTTGTTATTGTTGATGTGTTTTATGAAGCTTGTTATGTAAAGTATGCTAGAGATAATGTCTAAAGAATTATATGATTATGTGAAGCATGTTTAAGTGTGTAATATGATAAATTAAGGTTCAAGCATGTTTAGAATTAAATGTTGATAAAATGGTGATTAGGTGAAAGGTGTACTCACATGTACACTCACACACTCAACACTTGAATGAAGGAATGAAGTTAGCAAATGTGATTAAGGGGAGTTTTGGGGTGAACACTCTTTGTGAGTTGAGATGAAGTGCTTAGTAGAAATCAAACTATCTCCCAAAAGCTTTCTAAGATAGGTCGAAGGATGGATTCCCTTCGTGAGTTGAGATGTGGTGTCAACTAGTTATCCTTAACCTATAGTATATAATGTTGAGACTCCGTGGGGAAGTTATGATTAGCATAAACAGGCTATGAAGAAGGGGTGGTTGCACTTCGTAAGTTCAGATGTTGTACTACAATGTACCTCACTAGATGAGTACACCTCGTTAGTACAAAATGTGTTACTTAGTAGCAATCTATTAATCCCTTAACTATGCACCCACATAGGTTTAGCTATTGGAAAAGTCATGTAAAAGCTAAAAGAATAACCCTACTCTAGGCAAGTAGGAATACCTCATCCGATAAGGGCTAATATCGATATTCCTTGTCTAGCTCTCATGGTCTATGTCGGTTAAGATAGCCCCCACAGAAGGAAGAATGAACTAAGTCTCCTAAAAGAATGCACTATTTAGGGTAGGTGGTGGTATGGGAGAAGCGAAATGAGAGAACGACTTTCCAAGCACGTCCAAATAAAAATTCGAAACTAAGTGAGATACAAGGAAAAAAATATCCCTTCTTTGATTCTGACATTTATGAGATTTTGATGAGTTGATCGAGTTAAAGATCATTGACTTTCTAGATATAAAGTGACCCGATAAAGGTGGAAAAGCTAATGAACCAAATTATTGCAAGTATCATAGACTTGTGAGTCATCCTCTTCAAAAATGTTTTGTCTTCAAGGATAAAGTGATGTGATTGCTTAACGAAATGAAATTGTCATTGATGATGAAAAATCTCTATCACATTCAGCTCACTCAATCCAGTCCAATTATATATCTCTGAAAATCATAAAGACGAGTCATTGGAGCAGGAAAATTATATAGATAGTGATGAAGGCTGGATTCTTATAGCTAGGCATCGACACAACAAGTCAAGCTTATGAAAATAATCATCCAAGCGAATGATTAGAGGAAAATGGTGAAGAAATTAGAGAAGCAGAAATCAATAAAGCACCCAAAGAGGGCACAGGTAAAAGCGCAAGAAACTTCGACGTCCTTTGACTCTAGAAAAATTCTTACCAAGTTCATTCGACATAAAGTCTACTCAATACAATGTCGAGGCATCATATTTCAATGAAGATAAAGCATAAATATTGAAGGTGCCTACTACTAACAAAGAAGGAACAATGAGTGAATCCTCACAAAATGTGTCTCCTAGTGACAACGAAAGGGCAATAAGGGAAATCTTGTCAATTATATCCCCTTCACCCTCTGAAAAACATATGTCAAATCAATCAAGTCTGATAAGATACAAGCAAAAAAGTTGATGTGGTTGTCGGAAAGTTAAAAGCTTACTCTAAAGAACTTTGTCCAATTCTTAGTGAAGGAAAGATCATGTCTTCAAAGAAGAGATAACTTCGGGACTTCGCTATGTGACAAAAGAGAAGAAAAAATAAGGTCGACCATCTAACCTTAAAGAAAATGTATTGAGAGGGTAACTCTTCCAATCAGATGAATCGGTGGAGTAAACTTGCCTTTGAATACGTAAGGAAGTCAATCTAAATCAAGTGCAAGATATGGTTCTCCTTACAAAACGCAGAGGACAAGGTTTTGATACCAATGCTTACAATTTACTTGTGAAGGATGGATTTAACCATAATGAGCCATCAATGTTAAGGAAAGTCCCATAAGAAGATACAACTAGGCAAACATGGGAAGGCCTATGTTATAGCCAACCACCACCAATTCATATTTCCATAAGAAAGGAAAGCAATAACTATATAACTTTCAAAGATGAGGTCACTACTCCCTAAAAGCCTTTCGTCTTTGATCGACTTGGAGAATGGAATGCAAGAAATTTTGTTTTAGAGGTCAGGTCCATTGAAGAAGAATAACAAAAATCAGAGAAGTTATTTAAAAGTTGTAACTCCTTCATATTTGATTATAAAATATTTCAAAAGTTTGATTGAGGCGACAAGTGGAACTTGTGGTTTCGTGCAAAGATGAACTCAAAGCAAAGGCACACATTGTGGTTTACATCAAGGAGCACGAGGAAGATGAAGAAAGTGTTGGCTTCTCATATCATGTAACAATCCAAAATGAGTACCATTATTTGCCTCAAATGAAGATTGATGATAATTTAGAATACATTGTCAAGTGTTGTCATATATCTGTCAGTGACAATGATCCTTTATAAAAGAAAGATATTGGAGATGCTCCACCAGAACTTGAAGAAGAAGTAAAGACCACAATAGATCCTTTGAAGGAATTTAACCTTGGCATTGATGAATACCCAAGTCGAAATTAATTGAGTTCCTTTCTAGAAGTTGATGAAGAAATTATGTATATAAATATACTCAAAGAATATAGGGATGTATTCGCTTGGAGTTATAAAAAAAATGTCTGGATTGAATTCTAAATTAACGGTCCATCAATTGGTAGGAAAAAAAGTTTCTCATGCTGTTAAGAAAGCTCAAAGACGTTTGAGTCCAAACTTGGTTACATTGATAGAAAAATGAAGTTAGCAGAGGCAAGATTTATTCGTGAGGTAAAATATCCTAGATGGATTTCAAGTATTGTTCATATAAGGAAGAAGAATGGTCAAATTTGAGTTTGTGTTGACTTTAGAGATCTCAATAATGCATGCCCTAAATATGAGTTTACCCTTCCAATTCCATAGCTTATGATTGATGTCACCACTGCTTTTGGGGCGATTTCATTCATGGACGGTTCTTCTGGCTATAAACAAATCAGCATGGCACCAAAGGATGAAGAACTCATTGCATTTCTTACACCTAAGGGTATGTATTGTTACAAAGTGATATCATTTGGTCTAAATAATGTTGGTGCCATATATCAAAGGTCTCTGCGAAATATATTTGATGACTTACTCCACAAAAATGTTGAATAATATGGGGATGACTAGGTGGTAAAGTCTAGATGGAGGGGTGATTATTTGAAAGACATAAGAATGATGTTTGAGTTGCTTATAAGATATAAACTAATGATGAGTCCATTGAAATGTGCCTTCGGAGTTACTTTTGTCAATTTTATTGTCTTTATTGTAAGACAACGAGGAATTAAAATTATCAAACCAAAGTTGATGCAATATCTAAGATTCATGAACCTTGAAATATTCATTAGTTAAAAAGTTTCCAAGGAAAGCTAGCATACTTGACGAGGTTCATTTCAAATCTAGCGGGAAGATGTCAACAATTCGGTCATCTCATGAATAAAGGTGTTGCTTTTAATTGGGACCACACATATAGCGATGCCTTTTGATGTATCAAATCGTATCTAGATAAAGATCCAGTTTTGGCAGCCCTTATACCTAGAAAGACATTAACTCAATGTTATACATTGATGGTATAATAGGAAGAAATTTCTACATTTAACAATGAAATTATTATACTTCATTTGTCAAATGTAATCATAAACAAGCGTAGCAAAAAAATATTATATGTTGCTATGGAACTTTTTTCGTCACAAATAGTTAATTTATTTAGCCACAAATTTTAAGTCGTCGTTATTTAAACATTACATATTTAATGACAAAACTATGTTGTCACTACATCACACTTTGATTAAAGACAGTAAAATTATCATCACTGATAGATTATAGTATTAGTGACAAAAACTAAGGTCACAATTAATATAAAATTTTGTGGGAAAAGCTTACAATATTTAATAACGAACACTAACTTGTCGCTATTTTAAGAAAAAAAATTGTGACAAAGCCTTTTTGTGCCCAAAATTGTAACTAACTTTAAGACAAATAATAGTTTGTCACAAATTGGATACATTATTAGTGACAAGATAATTTGTCATTGAAAAATTAAAATTTGTCACTAATGGTACCTAATAAATGGCGCCAAACTATATTTTGGTGGGAAACTCAACTAGACAAAATTTTTCTACAAAATTTTATGTTTCTTCATTAGAAGTGTGTGGTTCATATATTTTAATACGAAATATAATTTTTGTCATAGAAAGTGCATAATTAGTGACGAATTATGTGTCGTACCTAATAATTTCGTAGCTAAATATCATGTTTGTTGTAGTGTTAATTTTAACATCATATAAAACAATATTGAAGATTATAGTAAAAATGTTCAAAAAAAATTGATGATTGTTAGTCTAGGTTAAGATGATTGTTTTTTTTAAAACTTTAGAACCATATTGTCTTAAACAATGACTGTGGCATATGAAGCAAGAACTTTGGTCATAATAGAACAATCAAGCATACAATGAGTATGAACATCTAGCTGAGAAAGAAAAATTGTTTTGTCCTTGTACTTTTAAGATGGATGACCTTTGCATTTTTACTCTTTTCTATTTTTATGATCATTATGCTTTAATATTTCATGCATGAAAAGTTATATAATAAGTTTCATCAGAAAATTGAAAGAAAGGTATTATTTAAGTCATGTATTAACTATTGGTGACAATGTTGACCAAAAATAGGTCAAAGACACTTAAATAGTTGATGAAGTTAATTGGGACTCAATTAATATTTTTAAAAGTTTATAATCTTTTAATAAATGCAAAACAACCCACACATCAAATTAAAAAAAACTTTTCACTCCCTCTCTCTCCTCAAACACTTTCTTCTCAAACGGTGGGTTCTCCTTTTCTCTCTTTGTTGGCATCAATATTTTCTCAAAATTGAAGTTGCTTCTTCTTCCAACCAATTTCTTTGACAACATTCAACTTTCGACGCTTATTCATCTATTCTAACTAGCCAAGGGAACATCGATTTGCAGGTAAGACTTTGTTCTTTTTTTTGGAAAGAAATTAGGGTTTTTAGTTCATTTATTTTAAAGTAATACTGGAATGAACAAATTGTTGTTGGTGTTTTCTGTTAAAAATTAGAGTTTTTTAGTTTATGTTTTATTTATTGATTTCATTCTTTTTGATATTGTGATGAAATATTAATATTTGTGGATTCTTTGATGAGACCCAATTACAACAAAATGAACATTGAGGATTATATAGCTCGCCTCAACTATCTAATGGCATATTGAGGTGTAGTTCTTGTTTCTTATTTAATTAACAACATGTTATCATATATAGATGAAGTTGATGCATGTTTGTGGTAATAGACACGAGAGTGTCTCTAGAATATCATTGCTCATATTTGATGATGTTGGTGTGGCCCTAGAAAGAGAAAAATTCTCAGGATGTTAACTATTTCGTATATTTAGGCTTGCCTTTGACAATTTCATGGATGGAATGACAATTGCTGCAAATTTTTTCTAGTTTTAATAGACGATATAGTGCAATTTTTATGCTAATTTGTTTTTGGTGTTATCTTGATGCATTTTTGCTGCTAATTTTTCCTAGTTCTGGTGATTAGTCAAACGTTCATATATAGTTTGTTATGTGTTACTTTTCATCTCCGATTAATAAATTGTCTCTAGTTAAGCAATGACAATAATACCTCAGTTCCAAGCTAGTTAGTGTCGGCTATATAAATCTTCACTGTTTATTGCTTTGTTTTTTGTATGATGCACGAGTTGATTGTAATTTGTTTTTAATTTTTTTATTTGTAAATAAAATGATTTCCAAAATAAAAACAAGTGAATGACTCTCTTATAAATCAAGTAAAGTAGCTAAAGTAAAAAACCATTAGAAAAACTTGTTGAAGAAGTAAATTCACAAAAAGATGATGTTTTACCTTCTGTAGATGTGCAAAAACAAAATAAGAATATGTAAATTTTAGAGTAGGAAGATAAAAATAAAAAAGAAAAGGAAATAAATGATGAAGAAGGAGATGATGAAGAAACTGAAAATGATAAAGAAGATTATGAGGAAGTTGAAAACGAAAGTGAGGAAGGAGATGAAAATGAAAGTAGTGAAGGAGATGAAAATGAAAGTGATGAAGGAGATGAAATTGAAAGTGATGAAGGAGATAAAAATGGAAATGATGAAGGAGATTATATTGAAAGTGATGAAGGAGATGAAGATGTTGTTAGAACTTTTAATATTGACAAGTTTCGGGTGGAGATGCCTATAGATGACCCTACAGATTTGAAAGGTGAATTGGTTGTAAAATCAGCCATGTTTGTATTTTTAGAATGATACTGATGGATGAAAAGTTGGAGGATTTCTTCAAGTCGAGTTGTTTTGGATACTTTTTTTATTTGCCGGATAGTAACAATGCACGTTTTCAAATGAGCATGTTGTATGATCTTCTCAAGCGCAGGATCAAGTATAAGGGTGATAATGATCATGCTTTGAAAGATAAGAACAAGAAAATGGATGAGATTTGGATAAACTATTGTGGTATGCCGGTATGTTTTGGCATGAAAGAATTTGCCATAGTAATTAAATTAAAATGTCATCCTCCTTCTGAACCTCTTCCAAAAATTACACCCTTAAGAAAGTCAAGAGAATAAAGATATCAAAATCAGTAAAGACTGGCAAGAAAGATAAAAATCCCTCCAAGACAGTCAACACCAAAATCAACAAAGGCAAAGAAAAAATAATAATAAAAATGATTTGTTGACTATTATTGGACCAAGTTATAAATTCAAAGATTTGTTAGAAGATCTCAAGAGCAAAAAAGTTTTAAAGAAGCACAAAAAACGATTGTGCTTAGGTTGGCTTGTGCAGGACATTTTATGGCCTACAAACATCAACAATGTCTTAGATCTTGGTTAGTTTGTGCTTGCTCAGGATTTGGATGAATTCAACAATTATCTATGGGGTAATGATAGATATTTCACGACTGTCGAATATTTATTGTCAAAGTTATCTTAGAATACAAACAATTTATACGAATTTCCTTGGACTTTTTTGGTAAATTTCACCTCTAATTTTAGTGTTTTATTTATTTATATTATTGTATAATTATTTTAAATTTTTATTTTCATCATCTTTGTATTTTTAGGCTTTAGCATTTGAAGCAATACCTTACATTAGGAAGCTATTCAAGGATCACTCAGAAGAAATTTCTTAACCTAGGATTCTTAGGTGGTTATCTGCCAAAAACAACCCAAAAATAAATTTTGTTGATCTCTTCAATCCTCCTCCTGATATAGTAAGTCTTCTATAGAATAATCTTCATTCAAATTAATTGATTATCTGGTTTGCTTCCAATAAATGACTTATCTATAGTCATCTATTGCAATAGATGGGTGATCTGTTAGAAGAAAACATAAGAGTTTGCTATTGTTTTACTTTCATCCAACAGTTGACTAATCAGTTGCAATGGATTAGTCATTTGTTGAACGAAAACTTGATCATTTGCTACTGATATACTTTCATCCAACAATTAACTAATTTGTTGCAACAAATAGGTCATTTGTTTGATGAAAACTTAATCATCTACTACTTATTTACTTACGCCCAACAAATGACCTATTTGTTGCAACAATATGTCATTTGTTAGACAAAATCTCAATCGGTTGCTACTGATTTACTTACAACCAATAAATGACCTATTTGTTGCAACAAATAGGTCATTTGTTGGATTAAAACTTAATCATTTTCTACGGATTTACTTACGTCCAACAAATGACCTATTTGTTGCAATAAATAGGTCATTTCTTGGACGAAATCTCTATCGTTTTCTATTGATGTTGGTGTTGATATTGGTAATGTTGGTGCTAAAATTGGTGGTGAGCATGTTGATGATGTTGGTGGTACATATGGTGGATTCACTCCATTCAGTAGACGTACCACATCTTTTACTCCTTTTTCTAGATCATGTTCTGCATGTAAATATGAAGAACGCAAAAATAAAGAGGTTCAATTAATATCTACTAGTGAAGATGTGATGAAGTCACTTGATGCTCTTACTAATGTTGTTAAGGAATTGATATTTAAGAGAGGTTTTATTCCATCACGAAAAATTTCAGAGCTATTCACACCATTGAAGATTAAGAGAAGAAAAAAAATCAATTTTCAAGATATTGTCAAATATGAAAAAGAGACAACAAACTGCAACAACTCCTCTTCCTTGTAATGTTGAGTCATCTTTAGGAGCCATGGAAGAGCAAAAGAAGTTGTAGAAGTTATGAGGCTGCTAAAGTCATATTTTGTAAGCTGAAGAACCTAATATGCATTGTAATTTATGAAGGCTTGTCATATTTAGTTAATCATATTTTATAATTCCTGATGACAATATTTTATAATTAATAGATGTTCAGTTATTTTATCACGAATTTCATCATATTTTTAGACTTCAAAATGTTAAATTATATGAGTGATCTATTGCAACAAATAATATAGATTAGACATTTGTTGTAACAAATTTATATATTTGTTGCAACAGAAGAATCCTCCATTGCAACAGATAAATATATATGGGTCATCTATTACAAACAAATAATACATATTAGACATTTGTTGTAACAGGTGGGTTATCTATTGCAACAAATAATGCATTGAGATTATAACTAAATTTATAATTTAAAGGTAATTATAATTAAATAAATTAGTTTATCACTATTTATCGGCTAATGAAGTGTTTCATATCAAAATAAACAATTGATCACTTTATTTAAGACGCAGACAGTTAGATGATAATGTAATTACTCTACATAGATGAACATGTATGCTTGATTATTTCCAATGGATGGGTCATCTATTGCAACAAATAATGCAAATGAGACATTTGTTGTAACAAATTCCTATATTTGTTGCAACAGATGGATCATCCATTGCAACAGATAAGCATATATGGGTCATCTATTGCAAACAAATAATACAAATTAGACATTCGTTATAATAAATGGGTTATCTATTGCAACAAATAATGCATTGAGATTATATCTAAACCTATAATTGCAAGGTAATTATAATTAAATAACTTTATTTATCACTAATTATGGGCTAACGAAGTATTTCATATCAAAATAATCAATTGATCACTTTATATAAAATGAATACAGTTAGTTGATCATGTAATTAATCTACAATACATTGAAAATTAAATTGAAATTATTAATTAAAAGGTAATTATAATTAAATAACATTATTTATCACTAATTATGGGCTAATGAATCATTTAACATCAAAATAATCAATTGATCACTTCATTTAAAACAAATACAGTTAGTTGATCATGTCATTACTCTACAATATATTGAAAATATAATTGAACTATTAATTAAAAAATAATTATAATTAAATAACGTTATTTATCACTAATTATGGGCTAATGAAGTATTTCATATCAAAATAATCAATTAATCACTTTATTTAAGATGAAAATTGTTACTTGATCATGTAACTACCCTATGATACATTGAAATATAATTGAACTTATTAGTTAATTGGTAATTATGATTAAGTAACTTTACTTATCACTATTATGGGATAATGAAGTATTTAATATCAAAATATCAATTGATCATTTATTTAAGACGAATATAGTTACTTGATCATGTAATTACTCTACAATAGATGAGCATATATGCTTGATTATTTTCAATGGATGGGTCATCTATTGCAACAAATAAAACATATTAGACATTTATTATAACAAATTTGTATAATTATTGCAACAGAGGAATCATGCATTGTAACATATGAGCATATATAGGTCATCTATTGCAAACAAATAATACAGATTAGACATTTTATTGTAACATATGAGTTATCTATTGCAATAAATAATGCATTCAGATTAAATTTCTATATTGTTGCAACAAATGATCATATTTATTTGATTATTTCCAACGTATGAGTTAGCTATTGTAATAAATAATGCAATAGACAAAGCATAAAATGCAAAATAGGCAAAGTTTGTTGCAACGAATGAGAATAACTAATATATTATAATAAATATGAACATACATAATAAATCAAAATGAGTTAAAATTATCAGATTCATAACTAAGTACAAAATAGTTATTTCACTATTAATTACAGAGCTTTTCGAACTGTGCATGTTGTTCTCTTGTGTCCAATATTTTTTACATATTTTGAACACTTACTTTTTTTCTTGTTGAAAATGATTCCCCGACTCCACTCCTCCTCTTAGTTCGCCTTCTTCCCAATTTGCTTGGGTAAAAATATGGACGAGGTATTTCTCTCTCCAAAATCTCCAAAGGAACAATCCAAAAATCTTCAGGAGGCACCAGATTAATCTCCTCACAATATGCAATTATGTATTCTTTCACCGAATAATATGAAGACGAGTACTCATAGATCTTATTTCCAAAATGTGCACCATATTGGGATCGAAGAGCTGCCATACCATGTGGACAATATATTGTTTCCAAGTCAAAAACTTTACATGTGCACATTCTTCTTTGAAGATCGACTGTGAAAACATCACCATGACCGTTGATACTAAACTTGTAATTGGCTATTTGATGGGTCAATAACACGTTTACCAAATTGCTATTCTTTTATATTTGTTTTTCCATTGAAGCAACAAGTATGTTTGTTGAGTTGAACAACTCCATACGCCTCTCATGAAATAATTTTGCAAATCTCATATTTATTTCATCAAATAAAGTGACGATAGGAAATTCTCTTTCAACATCAAACATTGCATTCATGGATTTAACAATGTTTGAGGTCATAATATTATACATATACAAAAAAAACTTAATAAGACATATAATTATATAAAGCTTAAACAAGTTTCTCAATATATAATATTTGTACCTATTTTTCAGACAAAATGCTCTACTCCATCTATGATTTCCAACTTATTCGATATGTTTGGCTGCCTTGGATACCATATTCCTTATTTGATTGAAATTGTCATAGAACTCAACTTTATTGTACGCTTTCGTTGCATTATAAAAATGAGATATGATCTTTGCATTGTGAAAATTATTTCAAATATTTTCTCCAAGGTGCCTCATGCAACAACCATAAGGAGCTGATGGATACACAATTGAAAGCATCTTTCGGATACTTGAATGCCTATCAGATATTATGTATAGCTCATCAGTATTATCTACATAACCTCTCATTTGTTCAAAAATATATTGATATGATGCATCACATTCTTTATCCACTATACAAAAAGCACCTATACAATATGATGCGCTGCATCTTGCGCCACTACCGATAGTAAAACTCCTTCATACGTGCTCTTCAAGAATGTCCCATCAACAACTATGACTTTTATCAATTGTTGAAAACCTTGAATCCAAGTTGTATATGCTACAAAAAAAGTACTTGAACTTGCCATTTTCATCAACCTGCAATGTTGTCTTACTTCTTGGATTTGCGGACTAAAGCATAAAGTGGTATGCATCAAACTCCATGATCGTGCTCATGTGTTCCCCTAACCAAAGACTTTGCAATCTCCACACCCTTATATATCATCCAATAACTCAATTTACAACCAAATTCTGTGGGGAGTTGATTGGTCATATCTCTTGTAGATGGACCTTACCATTGAGAAAGTTATTTTTTAAGTACTTACTAAGGACTTTTGTTGTGGCATGTGGATTATGACTTATAATATTCTCTGAACCACATGTGTGATATTTTTTATAAATCTTATTACAAAATATGTCAGAGCTTATGAATTTCAGATCCCTCAACCACCACTTGGACTGTGGATGTGCGCATTTAAAACAATACACACTACTCGAATTAATCACCTTTGCAAGTCTGAAATATTTTTTCAAGAAATCAATATGCAATGAAGTGGCTAGTTCTTCTTTGTTCTTGAATTTCATTCCTATGTAAAAACCTGTCTCATCATCTTGAAGATTGTTCAACTGGTTTAACTGAGAACTCCCCCTATATCAACAATGGGTTTAGGTGTTTGGTCATCCTCCACATTATATATGATCTCATCATCTGAAATATTCATGTTCATCTCATTCAATTCATTATTGAACAAATTTTGTTGGTCTTGTTTTACATTTTCATTCTCTCTCGGCTTTCAACAATATACACCCTTAAAATGGACATAGTTGCATCACTCAGATAAGCACGCAAACAGAATTGATTGTTAATCTTTAAAGATAGGACCCTCTGTTTTTCAAAAGACTTATGCATGTCTGATGACAAGATCATTTGGTTGAAAATTTAGTTCACAATGGCTAATGATTGAGTTCACAAAATCATTATACAAAATATCCCTTTGGACGTTCATTAGTACTGACTCTGACATGTCATCATCTTTCCAACGCCAAATAAATCGAGTGTTCTTCTCAATCCATACACCATAACTATCAACAACTATTGTTATTGATTCTTCCATTAATGGTACCTAAAGGAATTTATTAAAGATATTTAGTAATGATTGTATAGAAAAGTTAAGTGGATATATACAGTTAAAAATCATATGCACGATCATTGTCCCAACAAGTCAATAATCTATAGCAACAAGTAGGTCATCCATTGCAGCAAATGATGCACTTGTTGCAACTGATGATTCACTTGCATGTCCTGAACCAAAATCTTATCTAACTTGTAAGTCAATTTTTGTAACAGATGAGTCATCTGTTGCAATATGTGACTTACTTGTTTGGATATATTTCTGGTTTTGTCCTTGTTTGGCCTTGTATTGTAACGTGTATTCAACGGGTAAGACATTTGTTGCAACAAATGAGTCGTATGGTGCATCAGATGACTCATATGTTACAATAAATGACTCATCTGTTGTGACAAGCTTTTGTTCTTTTCCTAACTGGCCTGATAGTGTAATATGTATCCAATGGGTAAGCCTTTTGTTGCAACAAATGACTAATCCGGTGCAACATATGACTCATTGGTTGCAATACATGACTTATCAGTTGGGACTTACTTCTGATTCAGTCCCAGCTTGACATGATACGATAATATGTATCCAACAAGTAATCTATATGTTGCAACAGATAACTTACCTGTTGGGTACGCGATTGTACTTTTTTGAAGAAATACTCAAACAATCAAAATAAAAATTTAAAGTAAAAATCATTAGTTTACATACCAAAATCGCATATGATGTAATGCTCAAATATATGAATGAATATTGTTCTTAAAGCAGCAGTACAATGTTAATATCCATTGAAGAACAAAACACTGATGAACAATAAAAATAATACGGTGATGAACAACAAGAAGAAGAATGAAGAAGAAGAAGAAGAAGAACAATGGTCCCCAAAAAAGAAAGAATAAGCAAAAGAAAAAAGAGGGAAATGTGAGCCATTGGTAGATTTTTCTTCACTCAATTTCTTAATATTTAGGGTTTTTAAATTAGATGGACTAAAGTATAAAATATAAAAACTTAGGAATGAACAATTTAACCCCTTAGTTCTTAATTAAAAATTGTCACCCCTACTCAATACTTAAAACTTGAGACACCAATTCCTAATTTTGAAATTTTTTTGTAACCCTTATTTCATTGTCCAAGTTTCATTTGCTTATAAAGTATTTTATTTTATGTCCAAACTTGCTGATAGTAAGTAGTAAAACAAACCATTAGGATTCACTAGATAAAAATCAGATTTTCAAAAAGAATTTTACTTGTAAACATTTTTATGTGACTTTCCTCCCACTAATTATTATGGGGCAGTGATCTTTACTAGTCTACAAATTCTTTCACACTATTCGTGTATCAAAATTTAACTGTTTTAAAAGGTTAAACTTAAATATACTTCATAATGTGACATTATCTTATACCTTTTTTTAGATAACTGCGTCTATAATATACTTTGACTAATATATATATATATATATATATATATATATATATATATATGACAGTAAAAATATATATAAACATAGACCAATAATGTAAAATGTTTACTTTGGTCTAACCAACAAATTCTATCAAAAGGCACCATATTTATACTAGAAATGATATTTATATTACTGCTGTATATGTCAAGTGCACATATGTTTAAAGGAAAAACCTTTGGTATGAACCCATGAGGATCGCCTAGTTGTTTGGACTCAAATTTAAAACCCTTTGTCAGTGAAAACATAGGGTTTGACTTATGGATCGAGCTCGTAGCTATTGCATAGGGGCAATGACGCACCCAATTAAGGATAGAGGCTAGGGATTTTCTTTATCATCCAAACAAAACCTACGATATGATTCAGAAAGGGTGAGACTACTCCTACATATTCGATGCTACATCCTTATTATCCCATCCTCAAGACTGAACTAAAGAGCATAGTTGGCTTGAGCAGCGCACATATAGAAGTGGTAGCAAGAAAGTCAATAATACTTTTCTTGTCCTTCTACTTTTTGTTAAGGGCAAAGAGAAACATTTTTGCTACTGAGAAGGTGAACAGTCATCGTGAAGGTTTAAGACTTAGCCAAGCGTCAGCGAAGCTAGATTCTTAGGTGTTTAGCAAAGCGTTGTTATAGCATTGAAGCCCTATCCGTTATAATGATGAGCGAGGACGCTACACCTTCTCCATCGAAGCAGTCAATTGAGTTTTAAACTAATTAGCTCCTTGATAATGTTTGAAAGACCAATTTTAGGATTTCCACTACTTATTTCGTTCTTTAGAGTAGATCTTCTTCTTTTTTTTGTTAAAATATAAAGGACTATATATAATTTAACACGCAATTATTTACATTAAAGGTGGTGTTACTTATCTTTTCTTGTATGGCGTTTGGATTTAAACTCAATTTTTAGAATATGTATACAATTCAAGAAGTAAATTATTATATTTTAGAGTTTATGGTTAAATGACTTCTCAATTTATTAGTCAATTATTGAATACACACTTATATTTCACGAGGATCCTATTATCCCCTTCACATTTTAAAAGTAGAATATTTTGTCCCTTAAAAGGTTACACCCAAATTTGTGGTAAGTAGTAGTTTGCACAGGCGTTGCCTGTGGGGTTTTATTTGCCCTGATTTCTTATCATAAATAGATTTTCCTTTTAGAAAAAGGTTTTGGATTGACTAATCCTTTTTATAGTCGGAAAAGGTTTAGAACTCTATAAATAGAGACATATTCTTTCTAACTTAATCATCATTCACAATGTAGTCTTAAGAGCTTTGAGAGTTTTGGTTAGAGGGAGAATTTATGGGTCACAAGCTTGACACGTTATCACTTGTGTGAACCTCCCATGTATTCCGAGTGATTGGTTGAGGTTGTTTTTCTCTATATTTTGTACTCTCATATTTATAGTGGATTGCTCATCTCCTTTGTGGACGTAGGTCGAGTGACCGAACCACGTCAAATCTTTGTGTCTTTTGATATATTTCTTGTTGTCTTCTTACTCGTAGTCTTTCGAGGATTGCATTGCTAGATTCCGTATTTACACCTGCTTATTTTCTTTCCTAACAAGTGGTATCAGAGCCAGATTCAATGACGGAGTCAGGTTCAGTGGTTCGATAATCAATGATTGAACCAGGTTAGAAAGAGGTGTTCATCTTGGCGGGTGTTGTTCTAGCTGCAACCATTTTGACAGTAATGAAGATTTTGTTGGAGAAATTGTTTCAGAGAGGTTCTCTGTGTTGAGACATAAATTTTGCAAAGGAGATTATGGAGAGGAGAAGCAAGTTGTTGAAGATTAAGTGAAGAAGGTGGACAAATTTATTTTGTCAGAAATTCAGGCCAAGGGGGAGGTTTGTTGGGTTTTATTTGCCCTGATTTCTTACCATAAATAGGTTTTCCTCTTAGGAAAAGGTTTTGGATTGACTAATTCTTTTTTGGTAGGAAAAGGTTTAGAACTCTATAAATAGAGGCATGTTCCTTCTAACTTAATCAGCATTCACAATGTAGTCTTAAAGGCTTTGAGAGTTTTGATCAGAGGGAGAATTTATGCGTCACAAGCTTGATACGTTATCACTTGTGTGAACCTCCCATGTATTCCGAGTGAATTGGTTGAGGTTGTTTCTCTCTGTATTTTGTACTCTCATATTTATAGTGGATTGCTCATCTCCTTTGTGGACGTAGGTCGGTTGATCGAGCCACGTTAAATCTTTGTGTCTTTTGGTATATTTCTCGTTGTCTTCTTACTCATGGGCTTTTGAAGTTTGTTTTGCTAGCTTCCGCATTTACACCTGCTTATTTCGATCCTAACATTGCCAAATAAACATATTGTACTTTTTAAATAAAAATATTATTTTTCTTCTTTTTATTATTTCCCTTTTATATTTGTTTTCTTTTCTATTTCAGCCCATTTCTTTCTTTTCGTTGACTTAAAAAAATTTCTGTCATTGAAGTAGATTTTTCGAGTTCCATTTCTAACCTCAAAAATTTTAGTCTATTAATTTTTGTTTGAATTATTTCCAGAGAAATTCTCAATTTTCTTATACAACTATTTCAATATACAATATTTGGACATTTTCAGACTTAATTTGTAGTTCTCATACCATTGGATAATTATCGACTTCAAAATCTTCAATAATATGGGGTACAATGCTAGTATTCACCGCCAATCAAGAATTTGACGGAACTGTAAATCTTATACATGCATATGACGTTATATTTCCAGTAAAAATAATAACTTAGCCAATCTTGAATATCTAGATTTGGTAATTTATGGGTCTCTGATGAGAATATTGTTAGAGTTTGGGAAGCTAAAAAATGAAGTATATTTAAATGAGATATGAATTTGATTGGGGAAATCTTTGAACGTTTACGTATTTTCAAAGTCGTAAGCATATTGATTTGTCTTAAGGACAAAAACTTCTAAAGAATATGATGTGGATATACTTGTATAGTAATCACTAATCAATTGTCGCATCTGATTCGAATATGGGTTTCATCAACTTTGTGCATTGTTGTACTTGAAGTAGTAGAAAGTTAATTGTGAAAGATACTAATTTTGATATTGATGCTTTGTTGTTTTATTTACTCAACTGAGTTTCCTCTATATTGTTCAATTTTGTGTTCTTGTGATTGAACTTATGAACACTTAGCTATGAAGAAGTGTTGATTTTTAATTTGATTTCAGTATTCTAATAATATTTAAGTGAAGTAGAAAGAAGTAAAAAGATAGCGTTAGTAGTAATTATTACTTTCTCCGTCCGGTATTATTTGTCATGATTTCTCTTTTTAGAGTCAAATTATAAAAATTTTAACTAATATTTTAAGATGTGTTTTTCATCATATTAATATGCAAAGCAATTTATGCTATTTTTCATAAAATTTTAGAATATCTAATTTTTTTTGTTTAAATTATCAAATTAATATAATCTAATTTTACTTTAAAAGTTAATCAAGTTAACTTTCAAAAAATGTAACATAACAAATAATACCGAACGGAGAGAGTATTGATTGTGAGGTTGTTTCACACTTTTTTCAGACAACTTAAATCAGAATTGTTGAAGAAATAGAGAAAGAAAGAAAAAGGAGAAAAAGAAAGTAAAATGGAAAAGATAAATAAAAGTAAACGGTAGCATAAATAAATTTAAAAAATCAAAAAAAAATAATATGAAAAAGAAAAAGTAAGAAGCCCGTCTCTCACTCTATTTGAGAACGTGAATTACATTTTCTTTGCCAACTTAGCATTAGGGAGCAAATAATTCTATTACTTCTTTTATTTCATTTTATGTGACATTTTTTTTAGTAATACAATTTAATTTTAACGAGATATTTGCGTATGAAATCTTTAAATATTTTGAAATGAAAATTATATATTTGTTAACTACGTAAAGAGTAATATAAGTCACAATAATTGATGATTCAAAATGTTAAAATAATCTATGAAAAACTTACAGTCTAAGATAAACTTGTTTGAATCTCAAAATACGAAAAGTGACACATAAAATGAAACGATGTAATGGGACCCTTCTAAAATATAAGCGTGTAGTTAAAATCGACTAATAGGTATATACGATCTCACAATGCATGGTACTCCTCGATAGTAATTAGCATGCCACTAGCACGTTAGTCGGGTGCGCAAAACCATGTTAAGCAAGCATTGCAATACAATATTTTCATTAATTCTTCAAAAAGTTAGTTTCAATATTATTATCTCTTGATTTGGTACTCTCTTATTTATTAATTAGTATTTTCCAATTAAATTTTTTAAAAAAAAATCCAAGTCTTACGGTATAATTTCCCTATCCCTTTTTCCTCTCTTATCTACTTGTTTGTAACTAACATTACCTTAATGAAGGTATATATGTAACACCAACTTAATTATCGTTATTAATTGATGATCAAATAAATCTAAGACAATGGCAACGGGGACTTATGTTCGATTAACAAAGGATCAAGAATCTTCATTGCAAAATATTACTCCTGGCGAGCTTAATCAACCTATTGATGTCCAAAAGGTTATTTCACTCTTTCATTTACATTTCTTCTAATTATATTCAATTAGAATTAATAAGTCGATGAATAGAGAAAAAATGGATCTGATCTTCGCCCTGCCCTGCATGTGAGAGTTGAACGAATGTAAAAGTATATTCCCCTTAACTATATATGCATGCATGCATCGTCAATTATAAATTATTCAGACTATATGTTTATGTAATCGAGTAAATTGATGGAGAAAAAAACAACTCATCTAAAAGGTGGTGAAGAATTTGCATTGTATATATATATATATATATGTATATGTGTGTGTGTGTGAGAGAGTTTTATTCCCTCATAATAGTGAAATTGTTAAATATTTGACAGCAATCATGTGCTAAATGTGAACATTGTGGGCAAAATCTACCTCCATCATATGAACCTCCTGCTGATGAAGATTGGGCAACTGGAATATTTGGGTGTACAGAAGATGTTGATAGTTGTAAGTGACATTTTTAAGATTTATAACTTGAATCATTTTTTTGCGATTTTTGATGTATAATTTTTAGGTTTGGTTGGGCTATTTTGCCCTTGTGTTTTGTTTGGACGACACATGGAGACGTTGAATGATGAAATATCAAGCAGAGGAGCTTGTGTTGGTCATTTGGTGTGCATTGAAGGTGGCATTGCTCTTGCTGCACTTACTGCAGCATTTCATGGCATTGATCCTGATACTGCATGCCTTATTACTGAAGGTCTTCTCTTCTCTTGGTGGGTTTGTGGTATCTATACTGGCATGGCGAGACAAATGTTGCAACGAAAATATCATCTTAAGGTGAACTACTCAACTTCTCTTCTTTTTTTTCCATTCTATGCAAAGTAAAATTGATGTTGGCAACCATTGAGATTATCACGGATGAAGTGATGATCGATTTCAATGTGTTATGGTACATTCAGATATTTGGCATAGCAACCATGCTATAACAAACTATATACTCCCTCCACTTAAAAAAGAATGACCTCCTTTCCTTTTTTTGGTAACAACTTTTCACGTGGCATGTTGAAGGCCACAAGATTAAAGCGCAATTTTGTACATTTGACATAAATTTAATTTAGGACAACATGATCAAAAGTTTTATTTATTTTCTTGAACTCCGTGTCAAGTCAAATTAGATCATTCTTTGTGAAACAAAGGAAGTAAATATGAATGGTGATCATGATAATGAGTTGCTTAGTAAACTTTAATCGTATTTGCAATAATATATATGATGATGATGATTGATGGTGTTGTTCGATTACAGGATTCACCATGTGATCCATGTATGGTACATTGTTGTTTACATTGGTGTGCAATGTGTCAAGAACACAGAGAGATGAAGCTTCATTTATCATGTAATGATAATCCAACAACAACACTTGTAGATCCACCTCCACTTCAAGAAATGACCACTACAACTGAAAATAATGATGATCAGGTTGTAGCTGATTCTTCTGGCAAAGAAATTGTACCATATGAAGATTTGGATATAGAATCCCCCTAAATACCCATCTTGTACATTTTTAACTTTTTTTAAGCTGAGATTTATCGTAAACAACTTTCTCTACAGTCTGTGAAACACTCTACCAGCTTCGAACTTTATTTGTGAGGTCATACTGAGAATTAATGTTGTTGGGGGAACATATTTCTTTGTTTTGCATTAAAGAATTTAGTCATTTGACAATAAAATAGAATTTATTTCCTTTTCTTAGTATTATTTGTTGCACACCTTATGAGTTCTTACTTTCATTCTGAAGATTTATGAACAGCAAAGAAGAAGAAGAAAACTAGCAGAAGAAGCATAGAGAGAGGAAATAAGGAGAAGAATATTCTATTATTCCAAACTTAGCGTAATTACATTCTAGAGCTCCTCTTTATAGTAGTTGATATCTTGATCACACTTAGTTATTCTAATAGACTTACAATTAATCATAACTAACTAACTAAATTAATGGAAATTTAGTTACAATATAACAGTGATTTAGGGAACACGTACAAGGACTAGGTTCACACATTTGACTTTGGTTCATTCTTCACATTCTCAACACTCCGTCTCAAGCTAGGAAGTGAGAAGATGTTTAGAACTCCCAGCTTGGAGCTGAGATGTTGGAGTTGTACTTTTGTAAGTCCTTTAGTGAGAATGTGAGCTTGTTGATCTTGTGAAGGAATGTACTTGGTAGACACTAACCCTTGTGTGATTTTTCTCTTATAAAATGACAATCAATTTCAATGTGCTTGGTTCTCTCATGATAGACTGGATTGGCTGCAAGTTGCGTTGAAGCTTTCCTATCAATATGTATGTTCATAGGTAGTGACACTTCAATGCTGAGTTCCTGCATTAAATCTTTCAGCCATATACACTCTATCATAATGGTAGCAATACTCTTATATTCAGCTTCAGCCGAACTCCTAGAAACAGTTGTTTGCTTCTTTGACTTCCATGAAACTAGAGACCCTCCAAACTGCACAAAGTAACAATTTATTAATCTTCATGTTAGAGGGAATGTTGCCCAATCTGCATCACAATAAGCAATGATTGTATTCTTTGAGTAACTAGACAGTAGTAGGCCTTGTCCTGGTTGGTTTTTCACATCTCACATTCCTTAGTGTTGCAGTCATATGTAACTTCTTAGGTAGTTGTAGAAATTGACTAAATGTATGAACTCTATAGGAGATGTCAGGTCTTTTCATAGTTAAATATAGTAATTTGCAAACTATCCTTTGATAAGCTCCTTGATCAGTTAGTGGATCAGGTTCTGTCATCTTTGTCTCTTCATCATACTGTTTGGTTATCAATTTTGAGTTGGTGTTAATTGGAGTTCCAACTGGTTTAAATGCACTTAGACCATTTTCAGAAATTAATTCAAGTGCATACTTTCTTTGAGGCATAGAATGCCTTGCTTTGATCTAGCAAATTCAATTCACAAGAAATACCTTAACTCTCCTAGTCTTTCATCTTGAAAGCATGCTTCAAATGATCCTTTGTTTCTTCAATTAGGAGCAGATTACTTCTAAGTTATTAGCGTGTTGTAACAACCCTAAAAATGACTATGTTAAGTAATGTCTAACGTATCTAGAATGCCTAGATTGGACCGGGTTCACACAGATTGATGCACATAAAACTAGACCTCTGAACCTTTGCAACAGCCAATCCAACTAATCTGGTGAGTTAGTTGAGCTAGAAAAGGTTGGTTCCAACCATGTAGGGCTAGCGAATATGAAGATTTACCCGGATGAGTCTTTACCGGACTTAAAAAGGGGAAATAATAGGTTTGGAGGGTCTAGGGGTAAAATGGTCTTTTTTCAGGCTAAGAGTAGTATCATAATTACCCTAAATATGTAATTAATTATTCAATTACTATGGTGGATAGGCATTTTGGGTAGAAAGGATAGAAATTTGCCCATTGAGCAAAATCTTGCTCCATCCGGGTTCGAACCTAGGTGGGAGCAATGATTTAACATAATTATTTATATTGGACCATTAATTTAATTAATTAATATTTAAATGCTGATTTAAGGAAAAAGAAAATCAGATTATTATTATTTATTTATTAATTAATAGGGCGGTTTGGGTCGGGTTGACCAAAGGAACCCGTTTTCGCGATGGGGACGTCACGGGTTCGATCCTCGATGGAAGCGACGCCCAAGTGAATTAAAATGGGGTTTAAAATCTGATTTTTTTGTAAGGGCAATAAGGTCCTTTCACGTGTGATTTAAGTAAATCAGATTTTTACAATTTAACAAAACCTTATTTTGACTAAGTCTAAAAGTACAATCCTAATCCTAAGGAACCACTTACTTCTCACATTTATCCTCTCTCTTTCACGATCAACTCTCTCAGTTTTGCGTTTTATCTACTAACAAAATACAAGAACATAAAACACAACCAAAATTTCTTCATGCTTGAAGAATTTACACGTCAAAAACATAGACGAAACGCTAACCAAAACAGTCGAGTTTGTGTTGAAGTTTCGGTATTTGAACATGAATTTGAAGAGGGTTTTGGACAGCAGGTTGTGTGTTGAACAACACTAAAGTCAGGTATGGGATTATCTCTTGGACTCCTTTTTCCAAGAAAATTTTCGTTCCACGAATTCAACGCATTTTGAAATTAGGGTTTTTCCCGTTCTTGTTGAATTCCTTGTCCCTAGTATCCTTCTAATTTCAATCTGAAATATGTTAGAGATCATGTTGTTGGTATGTTTTCTGGTAGTTTAAGTATGAAAGGTGATTTTCGTGATAATGTGTTCATGATTATGTGTTTGGAATTATAAGCATTTTAATTTATGTCAATCGAAACTATGTGAAAAGTGATGTTTGTGCAAATAATTGTGTAAATCATGTTGTCCAAAAGTGGTGTAATATTGCTGGATTTAATGGTAATTCTTGGCTGAATATAACCATGAAAAAAATATACTCAAAGATCCACCAAATGATTCATGAAACGTCCTAAGATCTAATGATCAAATGATGATAACAAGGAGCTGAAAATAGTGAACAAATTTTCAACATTTGGTAGGTTGGGTTTGGACAATCAAAATGGTATAAATTCAATGAAAAATGAATGTAAAATAAGTGAAATCACTAAGGATTGAACCCAAGAAATCATTACATGAGAGCTACAAAAAAATCAACAAAAGATTAAGACAAAAATGGATTGGAGGAGACTATATTTCCAGCTTGCTGAAAATTGTAGTCTCGGCCAACTTTTAAAAAAATGAACTTCATTTAAAAAAAATTTAAATGTGAGGTCATTGGGGATTGAATCCATGACCTCACCAAATGAAAATTTCATAAAAATTTCGTGAGAAAAATGCAAGGAAAAATAGATGTGGTGAGTGGGGATTGAACCCACAACCTCTTGAATGGATGAGAGAGTTAGGAGAAAAACAAATGAGAAAATAAATGTGGAGAGTGGGGATTGAACCCACAACCTCTTGGATAGATGATAAAGTTAAGAGATAAATTAAAAGAAAAATAATGAGCTTGTGGGGAATTGAACCCACAACCTCCTTGACTTAAACGAAAAAGGAGAGGAAAACTGAAATGAAATATTATGGGATTGATGGAAATCTAACTAGGGTCCCCCAACTCTGAAAAATGTAATTATCAAGTTTGAAATAAGATCAAGTGTTGTGCAAGGGATTCGAAATCGAGTTCCCTTGTTCAATTTCGTATTGACACATAAGTCATACGTAAGTAAACATTTAATGAATGTTGCCTCTAAAGATCGAAATCAGTATCTTGGCATATCTACAAGATGCATAAGTCTTGTACCACATAATCTTGGATAAACATGAATCACTTAGACAAACTATGAATGAAGCCTCATGGCTTATATGCGTGGACTCATAAGTCTAGCATATATTTGAAAGTAAGTGAGCGTAAGATGTATGTGATAAAATAATGTAACCCGAGAAGGATTAAGTAAGAGTGTGAAACACACTAAATGGCCAAATACATTGGCATATGATAAAATGAACATTCATGTGAAGGGGTGGGTAATTATGAAAAGCAAATGTTTTAAAGTTAATGAATGAGGTGACAATATGATAAGAGGCTAATGTGAAAGATGAGAGCAATCTCAAATGAGCCTAAGTAAATGTTACCAAAACGTACTAATCTATGAGAATGTAAAGTTAATGAAGAGACCAGTCTCTATGAACACTCTAATGAAAGTATTAAACTTAATGCATATTTAATACTAATGATGAGATGAGAAATCATCTAATGAGCTATGATGTCCTCACGTTAGAAACCAGCTTCCATGATGTATGAGTTGAATGTAATGGAACATTATACTGAGCACTGATAGGCTAGCTATGAGCAATGATGCCTTTCTTCGGGAAATGCAGAGGTTCACGTAACTCTCATTAGATGAGACTGTTCGGCATGCCGGGTATGGGTCTCCTTATATCTCCTAGTATTTGAACCTATATTGTCAATATAGGGATCTAGAAGGGTTTGACTCTATATACACGCTAGCATGTTTGGGTCACTTTGACTTGTGATTACACCTCTTTTCGGTGTGGGCAAGACACTAGATTTAATGATACTTACATGATCTATGTAATTTAAGGTTAAAGTTCCTAAAAAAGAATGAGGTCAGCCTCAAATGATGTACATAATGAAATGAACGATTCCAAAGGTGTTAAGATAGGATAATCAAGAGATGAGCTAGACTTATGTAATGACACTAGGTTATTCTTGATCATTGCACAGCGAACCTGATGAGAGTCTTAAACTACATCCTAGGTATGACTTGTGGCTGCACTAGTATATGAAAGAATGAAAATGAAGTACGTATGAACGAATGAAGCAAACTCTGTGTTTGTTAAAGAAGGCTCCCTTGTTGAGGTCCCATATGTTGAGCCCTCATTTTGGGAAGTTCTAATGTCAAGTCCATGATTCCAAGGTCTCATGACATATGAAAGAATGATATGAACTATGTGATATGATATGTGTAATATGTTATGTGCTGTTTTCAAAGTGATAAGTATGATGATGCATGTTACTCTAATGGCATGACTTTCCTAATCCGAAATTGGCAAATCCACTGACTTGACTTTCCATAATTCATATCGATAGGAAAGCGCTCTTCTTAATCATGCATGTCCTTGGTATGTGCTTGCATATACCCATACTTAGTACAAGTGTGTACTAATCCCATACAACTTTACATTTTAGGTGCAGGCACAGGTGG